TTTATACTATGTCATCTATTATTTATAAATAATTATCTGGAAAATAATAATCAAAATACTAATAAAATTTTATAAATTAATATTCATTATATTTGATTAATTATACTAAAAAGTAATAATTTTAATAATAATATATGTTATACTTTTTCAAGCATTATTTTAATTAATTTTTGGAAATAATAATCAAAAGATTTTATACTATGTCGTCTATTATTTATAAATAATTATCTGGAAAATAATAATCAAAATACTAATAAAATTTTATAAATTAATATTCATTATATTTGATTAATTATACTAAAAAGTAATAATTTTAATAATAATATATGTTATACTTTTTCAAGCATTATTTTAATTAATTTAGGAAAATAATAATCAAATAATTTTATACTATGTCATTTATTATTTATAAGTTATTATTTGAAAAATTATAATCAAAATACTAATAAAATTTTATAAATTAATATTCATTATATTTGATTAATTATACTAAAAAGTAATAATTTTAATAATAATATATGTTATACTTTTTCAAGCATTATTTTAATTAATTTTTGGAAATAATAATCAAAAGATTTTATACTATCTAATCTTTTATTTATAAGTAATTATCTAGAAAATAATAATCAAAATACTAATAAAATTTTTTAAATTAATATTCATTATATTTGATTAATTATACTAAAAAGTAATAATTTTAATAATAATATATGTTATACTTTTTCAAGCATTATTTTAATTAATTTTTGGAAATAATAATCAAAAGATTTTATACTATCTAATCTTTTATTTATAAGTAATTATCTGGAAAATAATAATCAAAATACTAATAAAATTATATTTGATTAATTATACTAAAAAGTAATAATTTTAATAATAATATATGTTATACTTTTTCAAGTTTATTTTAATTAATTTTTGGAAAATAATAATCAAATAATTTATACTTTGTAATATTTTTATAAGTAATAATCTTGAAAATAATAATCAAAATACTAATAAAATTTTATAAATTAATATTCATTATATTTGATTAATTATACTAAAAAGTAATAATTTAATAATAATATATGTTATACTTTTCTAAGCATTATTTTAATTAATTTTTGGAAAATAATAATCAAATAATTTATACTTTGTCATATTTTTATAAGTAATTATCTGGAAAATAATAAACAAAATACTAATATAAATATAATTACTTATACTATGAAATATTAATTTTTATTGATTTGTATCATGTCATTCAATTGACATTAATTTATAATGATTGTGTTTATTGTATAGGTTATTATTATAACTGGAAATATTCAACATGCTGAAGTTTTAGATGTATTTACAAAAATTGAGCAAAGATATATTAAAAGAACCCCGCAAAAATTTTTAAGACCATTTTCAAATTATGCTGTCCCTAACTTTGAAAAGCGTGTTCATGAGGAATCTGTTCCAGCAGATGATAATTCCATTGGTAATTATATTCATTTATAAAAGATTAATAGATTAAGATATTGATTGATAATAATTGATCAATACAAATTTTAAGTTTTAATGATAGAATTTAATCTAAGTTTTTAAGCTTTTTTTATATAATATGGTTATAAGTTTATATTTTTTATATTAAGTTTAATATATTATTTAAAATAAATTAAAGGATTTGTTGAAATTAGTTGGGTTGGAGGAAAGAATAATGATTTATATAAGAATATTGCTTTCCCAGTATTAATGGATTATCTTTGCAATATTTATGGATCGCCATTATATAAATCTTGTGTAGAAACCAATATTTGTTCTTCAATTTCCATGGAATTTATAGAACAATATCATTGTGAAGTTATTGCTAAGTTCTATGATGTTTCATCTTGTAAGGTATCAAGTTATGTTAGCGGAAGTTCATCTTATTATGGAAAAATTAATGAAGATGATAAACTTAGCTTAATCAATAAAAGGTATTCAATTTAAACGAAAAAGCAATTTTCATTACCCTTTTTGGCCATATCTAGCTTCAAACGCAACAAAAGTCGCTAAATCTTTTTATTTAAGAGAAGATTGATTTGTAAATTATAAGAAATAAAACAGTTTTGATATTAAAAATTTTCTCAGAGAGTTTTGAATAAAATAAAAACGGAACTAGTGATTTTTAAGTTGAAGCTAGGTATGATCAAAACAAAAAGGCCGGAAATTTCACCGCACTCATTATCTCTAAATCAATACAGGGTTGAAGAAGCACTGGCGGAATATAATTCAGTTGAAAATTTTGATCTGGAAAAAATTAAATCAATTATTGAAAATCATAAATGTGATTTCCGGCAAAATATTGAGGAAAATCTACACACAATTATGACTGATGTAATGATTCTACATCATTTATATGGAAGTTTTGAATTAAATGAACAAGAAAATGAATTAAAAAATAGAATCCAAAAGGTTAGCATTAGATTTAGTTGTTCAATACTATTTATTAGTAGTAATATAGTTATTTGATTTATTTAAATTATACTTCGGTAAAAATAATAATAAATTGGGATATTTATATTAAATTATAGTACTTATGGGTGAAAAAATTTTACTATTGCTAAAATCTATTTATTAAAAAATGTACTTTTAAAATTATTTTAAAAAAATGAAATTAATTTCTTTGTTTAGATAAATATGTTAAATAGATTGATGGGAGAAAACGAAAATTTTTGGCATCAATTATTCATTGAAGTTTTTAATAAAAATTACGTTTGTGTCATCGGACGTCCTAATGAAAAGTACGTTGATGACATCAATTATGAGGTTAAATTCTTAAATTATTTTAAAAAATGAGTTAATGAAATTCAAGGAAAAGAAAAGGATACAAAGAAGAATTAATGAACTTGGTGTTAATGGACTTATACAAAAAAGAACACAATTACAAAATGCTATTAGACAAAATAACGTAAATTTCTTATTTGTTAAAATTTTCTAAGGGATCTTAGCAGTTGTGAAATATGCGTAGGATATATTTATAGACCAGTATTATTCGGGAGCAGTGCACAAACATTTAGGAAATTATGCTTATTAGAACTTTTATATTAATAAAATTCAATATTTGTGTAAGGACATTTAGAATAAACCTTTCGAAAAACTTGCGAATCCAATTTACCAAATGTTTTTAATAACAATGTAATTTTTTTATAATTTCAGTTACATCAACCAACTAAAAATTATGAAAAATTTTTTAGCAGAAATTTGAATAATATTTATCTTTTTGATGTTAGAATTAATTTATTAAATGATTGGCCCGTATATGCAAGCAGTTTCAGTAATGAAAGTAATTTTATTGAAGTAAGTAATTTCAGAATTAAAAATATTTTTTAATAATAATACTGTTGGAGCTACTTTATATCGTTACTTAGCTTACTTTAATAGTTTAACATATGTAATTTATTATTTTTTGTTATTAATCACTTACAAATTTTTAATTTATTTAATTTTTTTAAATTGACAAATAGTATTTCTGGGTTAGATACACTTATGGTTAATAAGTAAAATATTTTACTAACCTAATCAATTATTATTAATTTTTTATTTAAAGTCACTCACGATAATCGATACTATAAATATTTCGCCTGCTCTTAGAAAATATCTATTGCTATGGTCAGAACTTGCATTTATTTCTGGACCAGCTTTTGATGATTATGAAGAAGAAGAATATATGAGAAAACGACAGCTGGTTAATGATAGCATATCTCCAGGAATAGAAGGAAACTTTAGTAGATTCATAACACTTCACATCAAAGTGGAAAATGGTCAATACAATAATTTATATGAATGGAATAATATGTATATGAATGGAAAGTATGAACCTAGTCAAATTAAAAACATTTCAATCAAATTGTCTAAAAAATCGTCAAAATTTAAAAGAGATAGAAAATTTTTGACAAAATTACTAAATCGATATATGATTTATGATTTAAGTAAGTTATTAATTTTTAGATTATTCTGTAGAATCGATTCCAAGTGCGTAGCACTTTCACTGCACTTATTGTTTTCAACATAACTCATCTCAAAATAAGCAAAAACTGATTATTCTTTTATTTATTAGGTTCACAACAATACGAAAATTTATGGTTAAATAATAGAAAAATTTTACCGGGCAAATAAGACAAGTTAAATTAACAATTTAACATCGTAGCAATAAACATAATTTTCATTTATGAAATTCATTTGACCATAACCCATCTAGAATCATAGATTCTGCTTATTTATACTATTCTAACATTCGACATAGGTTATAGAAATGGTTATCCGACTTTCAAAAATGTACTTATTGTTTTCAACATATAAAGATAATATATTTCGTTTTTAAGAATTCCACCTGGAAAATTTATATGTCCAAATTATTCTTCCTATCATTCATTAATCAATATCATAGCCTGTTAACGAGGTAAACTCTATGCTCTGCGATTATTAATATTAATTGAATTCTTATGTATATTTTTAAACGAGTTATGTTGAAAATAATATTGTTACTAATTTGTCGCGTCTCCATGATTAATTTATTATAAATTCTAGGTTCAAATGAATATCTTTACAATACACTTGTTATGGAAAAATTTCACAATAACATTACTACTAAAATTGAAAATGGTGAGCATAACTTTGTACTTCATCAATTAAAATCTTTTGCCGATATAATCCGAAGTGAATTAATAAATTTACATTTTATTGGCAATATAGAAAATCTGGAAGGACATCATTGGGAATTTTTAAAGAATAAAAAAACTTCAGCAAAACATAATGTAAAATTCATAAATTTTTAAATTATTCCATTTATAGTTATTGCATAGTATTTGAATTTATTCTTTCAAAAGAACACCTTTAGAGTTCATTTAGATTATACCCTGGTCTTTATTTTATAATTTATTCTAAACATTTAAAATTGTTGGCGCTGAGATGCAATATAAATTTTTAATCGGGTTTAAATTTTTATTCCATTTTAGTACGATTCAAAATACGGTCAAAGTTGGAAAAATATGGGCGAAGTTTTTGGCATAATTGTAGGACCCATTGGAAGTGCATATATTCACACTAGTACAAAATTATTGTATGACTGGAAGGCAATACAAACAATTTCTGCAATGATTCTATGTGAATATTTATCTCAAAATTCTGGGCCATTATGGAAGGCAATTAGAGGTGGTGGATATGGTTATGGTGTTTATTTGTCTGTTTTGCCCGATAGTAGTATAGTTCAACTCGAAATAGATTGTTCTAACCTTACCTCTGCTTATAAAATTACAAATGAAACAGTTGTAGGCTTTTAAAATTATTAAAAATATAAATTGCCCATGAAAAATATGAAATAGTATTTAAAAAAATTAAATAATAGTACAATTAAATATGTCAATGTTTGGTACTTATTTCCTCCTCCGCCTATGTCCGAGGTTTATTTTTGTACAAAATGGTCAGCCGTTTCTTTGCATAATTTTAAAAAATTTCCTATGTCACATTCATTCAGTCATTCATTCAGTCATTCATTCATTAATTCATTCATTAATGTTTTAAAATTAAGAGGTCTGTACTTTCCTTCTCTAGATCGCGGACGGGAGGGGGCGGGGGAAGGAATAATACCGAGATACTTATAAATATAGTTTTAAATATAAAAATATTTATAAAATTGATAAATTGTATTTAAATATTAATGTTTTAAAATTAAGAGGTCTGTACTTTCTGGTAACTTAGATGAGACGCTATTTAATGGTGCAGTTTCAATCCTTATAAAGAAATTGCTTGATGAACAGAAAAATAGCAGATTAGCTGCTATTTCGTCACTATTAGGAATAATGCGAATTAATAATCCTAATTTTATAAGGTATATAATTTAAAAATTATTAAATGTTTCAGTACAATAGAAAATAATATTTTATTTAGTTAAATTTGTAAATAAATTAAAAATTTTTAATTTTCTCTCATAACCGATTTGATAATTATTATATGAAATGAATTTATGAAACAAAATTTTTAATTAAATATTCATATATTATAGGGATTTATGCGTATATATTATGAAACTTACAAGACCGGATGTTTTGAAGAACGGAAAAGAAATAATATTAAATCTGTTTGACCCTAAAAAGTCTGTTACTGCACTAGGAATCGATGAAAACAAAAAGGAAGAAGCTCAAATTCTTTTTAGCAAAATTAAATTTAAAAGTTTGGATGATCTACAAATAAAAATGAATTGAATTTCAAAATAAATGATTGTTTGAAAAATATTTTAAATAATTATAGCTTGATTAAAATTATAGTCCATTCCGCTTTTTTAGTTTTTGATGATCATACTATTTGATTTTAACACATTTTAGTAAATTTATGAATTGTTTTTTAAACACAATCATATTTTATGGAAAATAAGTTTATTTATTTTTGAACTAATACATAAAATAACTGATAGTTTACTATTAGTTTAGTTTAATTTTTATCAAATTCTATTAATTTTTATTTTTATTAATTTTTATCAATTTTTATCAATATATTTGAACTCGCCCAAGTGGGCAAACGGGCAAATAGGTACAATTTTGGTAACAATCTCTAGAGCTGTCCGAGACTTTTTCCTGCGGCGCAGGAAAAAGAAGATTATAGCTTAAATAGAATTATAGTCCATTCTTAATTAAAATCATATTTTGTATTTTTTAATAGTCCATTCCAAAATATCCATCTAATTTTTATCAAAAATTATAGCTTAATTAAAATTATAGTCCATCTTTATTAAAATTATAGTTTGTATTTTTTAATAGTACATTCCAAAATATCCATCTAATTTTTATCAAAAATTATAGCATAATTAAAATTATAGTTTGTATTTTTTGATAGTTTATTATTATTTTAGTATAATTTTTATCAAATTTTTTTCATTAAACACTAAAATATAATAATAGTGAACTTGCAAACGGGCAAATAGGTATAATTTAGGTACCAATCTCTATAGCTCGATGAGAGGAATCGTTTATACAGAATCTTGAAAGATTTGGAAATCTCTGAGAAAGTTACTTACGTGGTACACAAATATTGTATAGCCAGACAAAAATATTTATAATAAAAAATTCAATAAAAATATGTAAAAAATCGAAAAAAATTTTCATATTTAAATAAAAAATTAGATTTATATATGAATCACAAGAAGAACTCACAAACTGTAATTCAAAACTTTGATTTTTATTATACAAATCTATATAGCGACATCGATTTACTCTTGAAGATTTCGCTTTCATATAATAATTTAGTTCTTTATAATTTAAGCTTTATCTGAGCACATGTCTTTAATTTGAATAAAGTTATCGCATAAATCATGTGTACGGAAACAATCGAGCACCCTGTAGCATATCAAAAGTTGCAAGTTCGTTTGGAAATTTTGCAGACATTGAGGTTCGCAAAAACACACAAAAAGTATTGAATAGTCATCATTACAGTTAATTACCGGGTAAACTGTAAAATAATGCGTAATACACCGCATTCGTTGGTGTCCCACTAACACGTACTTTGAACACTGTGCATCTAATGTTCTGTAATATATATCTCTAAATACACACTAGTATGTTCTCGATTAGCGTTTGGAAAAATCAAGATAAAATTACAGTCAAAAAATGAAAATAGCACGAAAAGTAGCATGGATATAAATTAGAAAACTTTTATTCATAAAACATTTTCAAAAATAATTCATTACTGTAAATATATTATATTTTCATTACTGTAAATATAATTTTCATTACTGTAAATATAATTTTCATTAATGTAAATATAAATATATTATTATATATTATAATATATTACTTTATAATATATATTATATATTTACATTACTGTAAATATATAACATAATAATACATTACTGTAAATATAATTACTGTAAATTTAAATAAATAATCCGTACATCTAATTTTTATTAAAATTACAGTATATTTATTTTATAAGAATAATTTTTCCGAAGAAAATTGAAATTTAGATTTAGGAATAAGAAGTTTTCGACAATATTTTTCTTTTTCACATTTTTCTATTATTTGCATTTATTTTATAAGAATAATTTTTCCGAAGAAAATTGAAATTTAGATTTAGGAATAAGAAGTTTTCGACAATATTTTTCTTTTTCACATTTTTCTATTATTTGCATTTATTTTATAAGAATAATTTTTCCGAAGAAAATTGAAATTTAGATTTAGGAATAAGAAGTTTTCGACAATATTTTTCTTTTTCACATTTTTCTATTATTTGCATTTATTTTATAAGAATAATTTTTCCGAAGAAAATTGAAATTTAGATTTAGGAATAAGAAGTTTTTGACAATATTTTTCTTTTTCACATTTTTCTATTATTTGCATTTATTTTATAAGAATAATTTTTCCGAAGAAAATTGAAATTTAGATTTAGGAATAAGAAGTTTTCGACAATATTTTTCTTTTTCACATTTTTCTATTATTTGCATTTATTTTATAAGAATAATTTTTCCGAAGAAAATTGAAATTTAGATTTAGGAATAAGAAGTTTTTGACAATATTTTTTTTTTTCACATTTTTCTATTATTTGCATTTATTTTATAAGAATAATTTTTCCGAAGAAAATTGAAATTTAGATTTAGGAATAAGAAGTTTTCGACAATATTTTTCTTTTTCACATTTTTCTATTATTTGCATTTATTTTATAAGAATAATTTTTCCGAAGAAAATTGAAATTTAGATTTAGGAATAAGAAGTTTTCGACAATATTTTTCTTTTTCACATTTTTCTATTATTTGCATTTATTTTATAAGAATAATTTTTCCGAAGAAAATTGAAATTTAGATTTAGGAATAAGAAGTTTTCGACAATATTTTTCTTTTTCACATTTTTCTATTATTTGCATTTATTTTATAAGAATAATTTTTCCGAAGAAAATTGAAATTTAGATTTAGGAATAAGAAGTTTTCGACAATATTTTTCTTTTTCACATTTTTCTATTATTTGCATTTATTTTATAAGAATAATTTTTCCGAAGAAAATTGAAATTTAGATTTAGGAATAAGAAGTTTTCGACAATATTTTTCTTTTTCACATTTTTCTATTATTTGCATTTATTTTATAAGAATAATTTTTCCGAAGAAAATTGAAATTTAGATTTAGGAATAAGAAGTTTTTGACAATATTTTTCTTTTTCACATTTTTCTATTATTTGCATTTATTTTATAAGAATAATTTTTCCGAAGAAAATTGAAATTTAGATTTAGGAATAAGAAGTTTTCGACAATATTTTTCTTTTTCACATTTTTCTATTATTTGCATTTATTTTATAAGAATAATTTTTCCGAAGAAAATTGAAATTTAGATTTAGGAATAAGAAGTTTTTGACAATATTTTTTTTTTTCACATTTTTCTATTATTTGCATTTATTTTATAAGAATAATTTTTCCGAAGAAAATTGAAATTTAGATTTAGGAATAAGAAGTTTTCGACAATATTTTTCTTTTTCACATTTTTCTATTATTTGCATTTATTTTATAAGAATAATTTTTCCGAAGAAAATTGAAATTTAGATTTAGGAATAAGAAGTTTTCGACAATATTTTTCTTTTTCACATTTTTCTATTATTTGCATTTATTTTATAAGAATAATTTTTCCGAAGAAAATTGAAATTTAGATTTAGGAATAAGAAGTTTTCGACAATATTTTTCTTTTTCACATTTTTCTATTATTTGCATTTATTTTATAAGAATAATTTTTCCGAAGAAAATTGAAATTTAGATTTAGGAATAAGAAGTTTTAGACAATATTTTTCTTTTTCACATTTTTCTATTATTTGCATTTATTTTATAAGAATAATTTTTCCGAAGAAAATTAAAATTTAGATTTAGGAATAAGAAGTTTTCGACAATATTTTTCTTTTTCACATTTTTCTATTATTTGCATTTATTTTATAAGAATAATTTTTACGAAGAAAATTGAAATTTAGATTCAGGAATAAGAAGTTTTCGACAATATTTTTCTTTTTCACATTTTTCTATTATTTGCATTTATTTTATAAGAATAATTTTTCCGAAGAAAATTGAAATTTAGATTTAGGAATAAGAAGTTTTCGACAATATTTTTATATTGTCGAAAAAATAAAAATTTTTGACAATATTTTTATTTTTCACATTTTTCTATTATTTGCATTTATTTTATAAGAATAATTTTTCCGAAGAAAATTGAAATTTAGATTTAGGAATAAGAAGTTTTCGACAATATTTTTCTTTTTCACATTTTTCTATTATTTGCATTTATTTTATAAGAATAATTTTTCCAAAGAAAATTGAAATTTAGATTTAGGAATAAGAAGTTTTCGACAATATTTTTCTTTTTCACATTTTTCTATTATTTGCATTTATTTTATAAGAATAATTTTTCCGAAGAAAATTGAAATTTAGATTTAGGAATAAGAAGTTTTCGACAATATTTTTCTTTTTCACATTTTTCTATTATTTGCATTTATTTTATAAGAATAATTTTTCCGAAGAAAATTGAAATTTAGATTTAGGAATAAGAAGTTTTCGACAATATTTTTCTTTTTCACATTTTTCTATTATTTGCATTTATTTTATAAGAATAATTTTTCCAAAGAAAATTGAAATTTAGATTTAGGAATAAGAAGTTTTCGACAATATTTTTCTTTTTCACATTTTTCTATTATTTGCATTTATTTTATAAGAATAATTTTTCCGAAGAAAATTGAAATTTAGATTTAGGAATAAGAAGTTTTCGACAATATTTTTCTTTTTCACATTTTTCTATTATTTGCATTTATTTTATAAGAATAATTTTTCCAAAGAAAATTGAAATTTAGATTTAGGAATAAGAAGTTTTCGACAATATTTTCTTTTTCACATTTTTCTATTATTTGCATTTATTTTATAAGAATAATTTTTCCGAAGAAAATTGAAATTTAGATTTAGGAATAAGAAGTTTTCGACAATATTTTTATATTGTCTTAAAAATACAAATTTTTGACAATATTTTTCTTTTTCACATTTTTCTATTATTTGCATTTATTTTATAAGAATAATTTTTCCGAAGAAAATTGAAATTTAGATTTAGGAATAAGAAGTTTTCGACAATATTTTTCTTTTTCACATTTTTCTATTATTTGCATTTATTTTATAAGAATAATTTTTCCGAAGAAAATTGAAATTTAGATTTAGGAATAAGAAGTTTTCGACAATATTTTTCTTTTTCACATTTTT